ACTGCCCCTCCCCTGACGGTTTTTACCGGGCTGACCAAGCCGTCGTACCGGGCTGGGTAATAAGAGAAAAGAAAGAGGGGAGAGGGAGGGAAAGAGAAAGAAGAAGAAAAGAAAAGGAAAGAAAAAGGAAAAGAGAAGAGAAAAATAAAGACAAGAAAGGAAGATATCATAATGACCACACTCACAACACCCTGCAACCCTTCTCCACTTCAAAAAACTGTCATAACTCCTTTGATCTATGCTGCCCGATGGCTTAAACACTGGGGTACAAGGGGAAAATATCTATCTTTGAAAAATCTTCCCCACCCCTTTATAAATGCCCTTTTCATCCCCTGAAAGTGCCTAAAAACCTCAAATTTCGCGCGCATTTCTTGTTAGCATGGGTCAATTTCCTCTGAAAATTGCACTTTTTAGGGAGTTTTGATCAATTCCAACGAAATTAGAATTAAAAACACCGGGGGACAAGGAAAAATATCCATCTTTGGAAAATCTTTCCCCACCACTTGACAAATGCATCCTCTGAAAGTGCCTAAAATTCTTAAATTCTTTGCTCGCATTTCTTGTTCCGGTAGGCCAGTTTCCTCTATGAATTGCACATTTTAGGGAGTTTTCATCAATTCCGACGAAATTAGAATTAAAAACACAAAAATATTTTGCACGCTTCGCGCGCATTTTTTAGGGCTTTTTTAGGTTTATCCTTTTAAGTTATTTAAACACACATAAGCCTAATAATAGTCCCAAACTCAAGAAAGACAAATTTAAGATAGATCGTTTTAACCTAAAAGAAGGGTCTCAATATGTATTGATGGTGAAAGAATATGTTTGTAATAAATAAAACCATGATGAAAATGCTTATATTTAGTTTCAAACACACGTGTGTGGCCTATATTATAAATAAGGTAAGCCCTATGTCGTATTGATTTTTATATGGGGAGTGTGGTGGGGTGGGGTGGGTATGGTAAATTACTAACCGGGAAAATAAATACCCACTCTGACCCAAGACCCCT